TGCAGTACAAAGGACATTTAAACTGGATGGACGGGATTAGCTGGATACAGACAAGAACAAAGGCATTAATGGGTCAAAAGCATTGGGGCTTAGATCTCCATTATGCCCCTTAACCCCCTGTGACTTAGAGCAATTGACTTCTGGGCTGCTGTGTAGCAGATTAACTATATATGTTGAACATGCAGAAAAATGAAGAATGAGATATAAATGATATAAAATGCAATTACATACATTAAAAGTATATCAGGCTGGGCATCGTGGCTCATGCCTGTAATCCCAGCACTTTGGGAGGTCGAGACAGGTAGGTCACTTGAGGTCAGGAGTTCAAGACCAGCCCGGCCAACATGGCAAAACTCTGTCTCTACTAAAAAAACAAAAATTAGGTGGCGTGGTGGCCCACTCCTGTAATCCCAGCTACTCAGGAGGCTGAGGCTGAAGAATTGCTTGAAACGGGAGGTGGAGGTTGCAGTGAGCTGGGATCACACCACTGCACTCTAGCCTGGGCGACAAGGGTAAGACTGTTTCAGGAAAAAAAAAAAGTATATCACACAGGAGGTGATATATGTTGCCAGGGGTCAGTAGCAAGGGGAGGTTGTGGCTCTAAAGGGGCAACACAAGGGAATGTTTTGGGGTGAGGTTCTGCATCCTGACATCCTGGGGTGATGGTTATGCATGTGTTTTAACGGGTAAACCTGTACACCAAAAAAAAAAAAGAGGCAATTTTACTGCATATAAATGTTTTTGTTTGTTTGTTTGTTTGTTGAGGCAGTCTCGCTCTGTAGCCCAGGCTGGAGTGCAATGGCACGATCTTGGCTCATTGCAACCTCTGCCTCCTGGGTTGAAGTGATTCTCCTGCCTCAGTCTCCCGAGTAACTGGGATTATAGGCATGTGCCACCACGCCTGACTAATTTTTGTATTTTTAGTAGAGATGGGGTTTTGCCATGTTGGCCAGGCTGGTCTCAAACTCCTGACCTCAGGTGATCCGCCTGCCTCAGCCTTCCAAGGTGCTGGGATTACAGGCATGAGCCACAGCACCCAGCTTACTGTATATAAATTTAGAAGGTATTTGTACAAAAACAAAATTTTTCATGAACATACATAAATAAAAAAGGAAAAACACTTAATTCATTAGAATAGTTGTCTTTGGCAGAGTGAGAATGGGGATGGAGAAAAAAGGAATAAAAAATAAGTAAGTCTGAGAGCAGAGCCTTGCACAGCACAACAGAGGCAATGTGTCAGGAACTGGGCATGTAGACCATCCCTGTGCCTGAGGTCTCTTCCCCCTGCCTTCTAAAAGGGAGAGGGAATGGCCTAGAGGAGGGTGAGGAAAGCAAAGGAGAAGAAAAGAATTAGCGAGGAAGTGATGAGGAGGCAGGAAGTAGGGTAAGGAAGGGACAGACTGGAAAGTTATGGTGGTCCCAATTAGTGGTAAGTTCCATGAGCATGAGTACCACACTTACATTTTTACCATTACAGACATCAAGCCAGGTCTAGAGTCTGGCACAGTGTGGTGTCACATAAATTTTGGTGACTACATCAAGGCAATAACAGGATTTACAGCCTTGGTCACTGGCTGCTGGCGTGTGGGAACAGTGAGGGGACTGGAGTGCTGGGCCGATGGATGGCCCTTCGAGGAGGAGCAGATTTGGGGCAAGTGAAAGCAGCAAGTCCAGCCTGAGTTATAACAGGCTTGGGGTCCCTGTGGCAGCTCTGACTGAGATGAGTGACAGGCTGCTGGACGTACATGTCTGGAGCTGAGGAAGTACCTGTGTGAACAGATCCATCTGGGACTTTCTCAAACACACAACTGACAAGAAAAGCTGTGGGAGCAGATGAGCTCCCAGGGCAGCAGGCAGGGTGCTGGGAAACAGACTCCCAAGGAGTAGGGAGAAGAGGAGCCTAAGAGAGACTCTGAGAAGTAGTCTGAGAAACAGGAAGAAACCCTGGGGTATCAAGGGGACATTTCAAGAAAAGTGTGGTCAATAGTGTCAAATGCTTAAGGAAAAAGTTTCTGCAAAATTTGGTAATGTGGGGCTCACTGGTACCTTCCCCTGAGAAGTAGAGCAGTGAGAACACAGTCAGACTGCAGTGGGACTGGACAGAAAAGAGAAGGGAGAAGGCGGTCTGACACCAAGGGACAGATGTGTAAGGAACAGCCAGGCACAGTGGCTCATGCCTGTAATCCCAGCACTTTGGGAGGCCGAGGCGGCAGGATCACTTGAGGTCAGGAGTTCAAGACCAGCCTGGCTAACATAGTGAAACCCCATCTCTACTAAAAATACAAAAATTACCCAGGTGTGGTGGTGCTCCTGTAATCCCAGCTACTTGGTAGGCTGAAGTGGGAGAATGGCATGAACCCGGGAGGCAGAGGTTGCAGTGAGCAGAGATCACGCCACTGTACTCCAGGCTGGGTGACAGAGTGAGGCTCTATCACAAGAAAAATAAAAAATAAAAAATAAATAAATATATATATGTGTGTGTGTGTGTGTGTGTAAGGAACAGCAAAGGAGGACCCAAGTCTAGGAATGTTCTTATAAGGTTAAGAGGAAAAGCCATCAAAGAGGACAGAAGAGATCACTGATGACTGATGGAACTGCTCCTGGACCAGGGTGTATAAGCTTAATATTAATGCAAAGCTTCCATTGTTTCTTTAGAACTTAAAAGACCCTAAGAATTAGAGCAAGCCACAGGGTGAGCCACAGGGGCCTTCAGATAAGGAGGTCAGAGGCACAAGAAAGTGGTTACCAGAAGTCAGCCCCAAGTGGAGCAGGGCTGGTCGAGATAACGTAATAGGGAGACTTACTTTTGGTTGTTTTCCATTCTGTAGTCTGAGTTTTGCGGTATGAACATGTATCTACATTATTACAAGATACATTTTTATAAAATTTGCAGAGATCATCATTGACCCTGACAAGACTCATTTCAGTATATAATATGGGAAAAGAAACCAGACCGCAACAGGCTGAGAATGACCCAGGGAAGAGAAAATGGAGAAATTAACTGCAGGTATCTTTTTCGAGAAGCCTGCCTTGCAGGGGATGAGAAAGATAGGATAACAGTCACTTGACAAGATGTGAGGTGTTGTTTTGTTCTGAAGAAAGCATTTTGAAATATCGATGAGAAAGAGGTAGTGGGAATTAGGTTAATGATGCAGATGGCAAAGGAGATAACTAAGGAGCCGGCACAAGGTCTGAGCAGGCAGGAGTGTGCAGTTTCAGAGCAGGAGAAGGGTACACCATCACCAGGTGATATGGTTATGCTTTGTGTCCCCACCCAAATCTCGTCTTGAATTGTAATCCCCATAATCCCCGTGTGTCAAGGGAGGAGCCAGGTGGAAGTAACTGAATCACGGGGGCGGTTTCCCCCATGCTGTTCTCATGATAGTGAGTGAGCTCTCACGAGATCTGATGGTTTTATAAGGGGGTCTTCCCCCTTCACTCAGCACTTCTCCTTCCTGCCACCTTGTGAAGAAGGTGCCTTGCTTTCCCTTTGCCTTCCACCATAACTGTTAAGTTTCCTGAGTCCTCCCCAGCCATACTGAACTGTGAGTCAATTAAACCTCTTTCCTTTTTAAATTACTCAGTCTTGGGCATTTCTTTATAGCAGCATGAAAATGGACCAGGAATGTCTCATACCAGAGAGGGATACATACCCCTTTCTCCTTTCCATACCCAGCCCTGGGGCATGGGGGAAGCTGCTCCAGGATGGGCCTGAGTAGTTGAAGCCAAACACAAAATCCCTGCTCCTCAGACACACTATGGTCCAGGACCTGATTCTGGCCAATAAGACCGAAGGTGGCATTTGATGGGGCTTCAAAAAAAGGCTCCCACTCCCCTGAAGGAGTGGCCGGAAGCCACTTCTTCGTGCTGATGAAAGGGAATGCGAACACGTGTGGCCCCAACTGCCACTGCAGCCATCCTGCTACCACATGGGCACCTGCCCTAGGATGTAACCAACAGCTGGATGGAAAGCAGAGAGGTGAAAAGCTCCTGGATCCTTGAGGAGGTCACTGAGCCGCAGGATCGACCAGCCCTGAGGCCTGCCCTTCACCTGGACTTCCAGGAAAAAGGCACATTAACTCAGGCTTTCTGGTGTTCACAACTTGGAACTCTCACTGACAAGCATCCCTTGCACTGTGACAGGAGGAATAGGACTAATGGAGAGGCAGGAATGGAGGGAGATGATGTCAGATGGAATGTTTACATTTTCCTCTGTAAAATGAAAAGGGATCCTGATGCTAAGAGTGAGGGGGACCTTCGAGGAGGACAGAGCTTAGGGAGAGGGATGAAACCTGGAGCTGGGAGTTCAGGACACTGGCAAGGAGCTGCCTAGAGTGACAGGGGGCCTGGCGGGTGGTGCTGAGCACCAGATAAGGACGCTGAGACATCTGCCAGCTGCAAACAGCACAAGGCTGTGCCACTCACCAAAGACCCCCCTCTTATGGGGACGGCCTCTGTGTTTGCCATGAGGATGGACAGGACAAGTGGGAAAAGCATAGTGGGCATCAGCACAGCAGTGGTTGAAGTGATGAACCCCAAGGTCTAGGCTCCACTTGGAAGGGAGTGAACAGAGGAAGGGGCTGATGGATGAAACAAAAGGAAAAAACAAAGGGATGAGGAGCTAGACATCTCCATGCATCAAAGAACTGAAAGTGAGAGCACCAAGGAGACAATGCAGATAAAGTGTTTCCAGAATAACACAAAGCAGGGATCTGGGCCCAGCAACCTCCATGCCCCACTACTAGCCAGAACTAGGAGTGTTGTTTCAGGATTAGCTGCAGTGGGTAAGTTTGAATGAAGCCAGACAGACACAGATAAGAACTCAGAGGGGCCTAGTTCTTCCTGCGTCACTCAGAACCACGTGCACATCAGTAGACTGGAGGGGAAGTGTTCTCAAGTTTGTGCTGATGTTTCTGAAAGGGAATGGAGACCCTACAAAGGAGAAATGAAGGACACAGTAAGAAAAGCATCCCTTAAACTGGTCTTTGTAAAGAACTCACCTCTGTATTCATCTTGGTCTCTTCCTTCGGTCACTGTAAAGACAAAAGCAGAGGTTCAGGTCCCTGGTGGCACCTGCCCAAACTCCATGCAAACTCCCCTTTGCCACCCCACGCTCCCCCACTGCTTCCTGTCCCATCGGTCTCATCTTCCCCAAATGCCTTCACCACCTGTGCCTTCCAGCAAGGATATCCAGGCCAGTGTCTATTCTGGCCTGGTGACAGCTGACTTCCCTGGGATGTCATACCAGCAATGCTTCCTTAGAGAAGGGCATTTCCAAGCCCAGGTCCATCTCCTACATTGGAAGAGCAGCTGCAATTGGGATGCCTCCATGGGAAGGATGCACTTCCCAAAACTGGTGCTTGAAGAGGACAGCTTTTTATCTGGCTTTTTAAATGGGGACAAGCAAGGCAATAAGAAATATACACTTTTCTTTTCTTCTTAGCTGAGTTTCCAGAGGACTGCAATTTAATATGTTCAAAGAATAGTTCAAAAAGCCACTCGGGACCCTCAGCATTAAGACAGAGGAAGGAGGGGGCAAACAGGTGAGCAGGAAGGAGGGGTGACAAGAGGAGATGAGGGGAGACCACAGAGTAAAGGAAAAGAAAGACAGCAACAGCACAGCTTAATAGGGGTCCTCAACTTTAATGTACCCCTAGGATTCTTGTTGAAAATGTGTATTTCTGGGTTTCACTCTCAGATTCTGATTTGGAAGGCCAAGAGTGGAGGGGAGGCCACGAATCTGCATTTTCACCAAGCATCCAGGTAAATGCACACAGACGGTCAGGAGCCATACCTGGAGAAACACTGGAATGTCGGTAGAACAGAGGCCTGTAAAAATTAACTTTTTCCCTCACTTGTTAGAGCCACTAGAATTGCCACTGTATTTTTAACTAAAACTGGGCAGGCAAGGGCAGGCAAATGGATAACCAGAGGTGATGAAAAATGCACTACAGATGCCTCTCCAGCCCCTCCACCTGCATAGGCAGTCCAGGAAGCCAATGCCGATGACCACTTCTAGCTTGCAGAGGGCCTCTGAAAAGGGAAGACTGTGGCAACCCCTGCCCTTGGACCCAGCACAGCATTTGATCTTACTCTCTTTGGTTAGGCACAGGGATGAGAACCATGAATGACAGTGAAATAACCACCCCCATTCCAAAACAAACAAAACCAAACCTTGGCAACCTTAAGATTACCTGGGGAAGGGTGCGTGGGTGATCGTGTGGGCTTTGTGTTGAAAATAGCCTGCTTTTGGGGCTGGACACTGTGGCTTACGCTTGTAATCTCAGCACTTTGGGAGGACGAGGAAGGCAGATCACCTGAGGTCAGGAGTTCCAAGCCAGCCTGGCCAACATAGTGAAACCCTGTCTCTACTAAAAATACAAAAACTTAGCCAGGCGTGATGGCGTATGCCTGTAATCCCACATACTCGGGAGGCTGAGGCAGAAGAATTGCTTGAACTCGGGAGGCGGAGGCTGCAGTGAGCCACTGCACTCCCAGCCTGGGCAACAGAGTGAGACTCTGTTTCAAAGAAAAAAAAAGAAAGAAAATAGCCTGCTTTCGACAACTCCCCTCCCTTCTCTCTTACCATTGCTCCTTCCTGCTTTGAGAGCGGGTCTCATGACCCAACCTGGCCAGCACACATGATGCCTTTCCTTTTGCAGTCTGGAGCCTTTTCACATCTCCTGAAACAAATCTGAAAAAGGGAACCTACTAGAAGAAACACTCCAAAAAGCAGAATGTGACAAACAAAGTGGACTTTCTTCTCAGATCCTGGGGAGGCAATGTAGGTGTGATGTCTCTTTATGCATAAAATATCTCAGAAAGGCCAGGCACAGTAGCTCACGCCTGTAATCCCAGCACTGTGGGAGGCTGAGGTGGGAGGATCACTTGAGCCCAGGAGTCCAAGACCAGCTTGGGCAACATAGCGAGACCCTGTCTTTACTTAAAAAATTAGCCAGGCATCATGGCATATGCCTATAGTCCTAGCTACTTGGGAGGCTGAGGCAGGAGGATTGCTTGAGCCCAGGAATTTGAGGCTGCAGTGAGCTATGATCATGCCACTGCACTCTAGCCTAAAGTGATAGTGACATGAGTCACTGACATGTCACATGTCATCACCTCTGTCACTCACAGGATGACAGAGACTCTATCTCTTTTTTCCCCCCAAACTACTTTGTACCCAGATGAGAGACCCTGTCTCATTAAAAAAAAATATATATATATATATATCTCTCTCTCTCAGAAGGATAACTAAGACACTGAGAGCTGACCCACAGGCAGTGGGTGGGGTGGGAGCACCAGCACTAAGTGGCGGATGCGTGAAGACACAGCAGCAGAGGGTCCCCAGCAAGCACACTCTGCTCGTCCTCCCCTGCTACCTGGAGGCCCCACAGGGATGCCCTCCCCAACACCCTGCTGTGCTTTACTTCTGTTTTTAAGAACTTTCGTTCAAGTCTCCCTTGGAGCTTGCACATGAGTGACAGAGTCACATAACAGAACACCCAAATGTGAGGAGGATGAGAACAGATGTGAACCTCTCTGGGTCAGCTAGTTCATACACATTAACCCTGATCCTCAGAACTCTGGCAAACAACAACAACAACAACAAAAAACCAAACTAGTATTAATTCCATTTTACAGATGAAGTGCCTGGAGTTCAGGGAGGGTAAAGCACCCTGCCTCACAGCCAAGGCACTACAGCACTGCCCTGCAGTTTCCAGACTTCCTGGTTCTAGACTCAAACCCCAGGCTCTGCCAGAGGCCTTGACAGGTCCTGTCTTACATTCACCCAGAGAACTTCCATGCTAAACAGGAGACCTGGTGTCCAGTCCTGTCAGTCCTGAACTACCCAAGCAACTATGACAGTCAAACAGGTCACAGGCTGTAGGCTGAATGGCTGGACTTCATCTCTAAGGTCTGCTCCAGCTCTAAATTGCTCTATGGTTTCCAGACAAGGAAATTCAGGTAACTCTTGTAACAGACAGAATGATACCCTCAGTCATGATCACAGAATGTAAATTATGATTATAGCAAGAAGGCCTAGCTGACTGACAGATCAAAATGTTTGCCAGAGTGTGGTGGTTAAAGTGTGGTCAGGAATACACTCTGACATTATTGGGGGACTAAAAGTGGGTAGCATCTCTGTGGAAGGCAGTGTAGCAATAACTCTTAAAATTCCAATCTGACCTAGCAATTCTACTGCTTCCTATTTCTGTCTCCAGCCCCCAAACTACATTCAGAAGAAACTGCCCTGAGTCTTTTGACCTTGAAGAAATCTCAGTACTACTTGCTTTTTCTTTTCTTTTTTTGTAATAAACATATGTATTTATAACTAATTTAACTTTTCCAAATTCTCATTTGCAAATGAGATTTATATAGTTAAAACTGAATATACAAACCAACATATTAGGAGGATCAAAATTTACACTACTCAAACGTGACTCCTTAAGACTGACTATAACATGTTCTTTCAACTTTATTCAAATCAGATGTCCCCCCTCCAGCATATATCATTTTAAAAAATGAATTTAATGCTATCAAAAGGTGATGTTCACTTTAATCCTGTTTGCCTTCACACCACTGTCGTGAGTCTTCATTCCAGGCCACATACATAAAGAGGGCCAGCACCACATGGCCGCCGACCACTGCAACACTAGCAGCATAAAAATATCTGTCCCTATTGGACATCCCAAGGGTGCCTTCAAATATGTAAGATTTAGTTGTGAAATATAACCCAATAGGAACGGTGATCATTAAAGCTGTAAAGAACAGGAGTGTCTTCAGTGTAGATGCTAATGAGCTTTCTTTTCTGAACTTAGGAGGCTGCAGTGCGTTCAGTGCCGCTTTATCCGGGCGCTCCACGGTGTAACTGTGCTGGCACAGGCACTCGGTGGCAGGCTACTTGCTTTTCCTTTCTAATGAGATCTTAAAGGAAAATTTTCCTATAAAAGTGGTCTACAAAACATTACTTATGAACTTTATTGTTTTCCTACATAATCTGGGGAATGCAAAACAAAAGAAAACAAACAACAAAAGGATGTGGACAGATGCATATGCATGAGAAAGAAGCCTACCTGGAACTCGTACACTGGGCATCAGGGGTGTACCAGCTAGAATAAACGGCATTGCTGTTTATTTATTTATTTTTCAGGGTCAGGGTTTCGTTCTTTAACCCAGACTGGAAAGAAGTGGCATGCATGATCACAGCTCACTGCAACCTCGAACTCCCGGGTTCAACTGAACCTCCTGCCTCAGCCTCCCAAAGTTCTGAGACTGCAGGCATGAGCCACTGCACCTGGCCACACTGCTGTTTTTAAAGCACATTCAGCTGGGGTACCCCAACTCGTTGCTCACAGAGCTTTGAGTGCCTGGCAGGACTTGCCATGGTCACATAACTGTAAAGGCCAGACAGATCCTTTCTGTGCTGTTTCCCCTTCTGCTTTCAACTCCCCCTTATAATAAGATGCACTGTCAGGAGAGGCAGCAATCCCAGGCCAAGCGAGATCTGGCTCCACCTTCCAACTCTCTGCCTGCCCATCACACAGCTCCCTCTCCTTTCCTCCCCATCATCTGGCCAGGACTAGTTAAACACTGAACAGAATCCAGGAGGAACTTTATTCTGTATTTTAATATATCTTAAAATATCTAAGACCTAATCCTGTAACAAAAAAGTTTTGGTTTGTTTAGTTTTTCTTTTTTATTTAAATGTCAAAGGTTTAGTATTTAAATGGTCAAACACAGAAACATTCTGTTTTCTAAGTTTTAGTATTATGCTGAGAAATATTTTCCCAAAAGACTTATATTAAATAGATATATTTTTATTTTCTTATAGATTTTTAACTTTTTTTTTTTTTTCTTGAGACAGTTTCACTCTTGTCACCCAAGCTGGAGTGCAATGGTGCGATCTCGGCTCACTGCAACCTGTGCCTCCCAGGTTCAAGCCATTCTCCCATCTCAGCCTCCTGAGTAGCTGGGATTACAGGCGCCCACCACCACACCACCACGCTAATTTTTATATTTTTAGTAGAAACGG